AACTATAAACTTTATTCCGAGGGTACAGATTATGCATAATTGTCTCTACTAAAAATTATCACTCTTATTAGCATCAAGTCATTAGTACGTATACAATAAAACATAAATGAACTTGAGCTTTTTTTTTTTTTGCTTCGCTGCTGCTGTAGTTTCTGAAAAAAAAAATGATTTAAAATCATAAAGAAATTGCCCTATATTAATACAAATACAACAAAGATAAATTTGAGAAGTGAAGAAAATAAAAAAAAAAAACCAAACAAAAAATTTTATCCAATTTAAAATTGTTTTTAAAATACACAATGAATCAGTTTTGGTCGATGTGAACGTTTTTATAAAGTTGGAAGAAGACAACTATTAATATCAAAGAAAAATAAAAAATGAAAAACTTTGATACTTCAAAAAAAAAAAAAAAAAATTGGTGGTGGTTCAAAATGGGTCGTCAGTGACGATCACTTGTCGAAATCCATGACTCAGAGAGGAAATTTTAGGAAATTTGAGTTTTTTTTTTCCCTTACCGGTGGTGTAATCCAAACTTTTTATTTACCAATTCTGAAATATAAAAATACAGTTGCCCTCGTTCTTAAGTGTCATTTTGCTGTATGGTTAATTTCATCTTATACTTATTTTCATCAATTGCCTGTTTTTCCTCCTTTTGCTTACCTCAACATTAACTTTCTTTAACAGTTTCTTGGCGATATAATAAAAAAAAAAACAGAACAGAACAGCAAGAGATTTTTTTTTTGCTGTTTTTACTATACACTTTACATTTACTATTGCAAAAAACTTTTGTTTAGCTTATAAAAGTTAAAGTCTGTTAGCAGTTGTTAGCAGTATTATCAAAATTTTTATTTGCGCAAATTATTGACAACAGTTTTGCTTTACCGTTAATTTGTAACAAAAAACTGATAAAAATCAGCTTTGTTTTATTAATAATTTAGAAAAAATATATATATATATATATTTTTTTTTCAAATAAAGCTGTAACCAAGTTTTTTTTTACCAAGTTTTGTTTTTTTTTTTCTTACGATTGTAGAAACAGCATCAATCAGCAGCAGCTTTTTTTTTTGCTTCTGAATCTCCATTTCATACAAAAAAAATGACGGTTTATAGGTTTACTTTTTCATTTCCATACAAATGTACTTTTTTATGAATTACTAAATTTTAAAATAAAATCAGTTGCATAACTGCCGTAATTTGTTGATATAATAGGTGACAGCTGAAAAATTTGCGAATAAATAAACCAACATTAGCAATACAATGTTCGATGACAAAAAAATGCTAAAAACTATAGGAAAATTTTATTTGATCATTTGTTGTACAGTGAAAAGATATTTGAAAAAAGAGCTTTTTTCTCCAAAAGAATACCATAACTTTTCGTTTTTTGAAGGAACTGAAAAATACAATTTATTTTTTTTTGAAAAACCTAAAATTACCATATACAAATAGTTGCTGTCATCAATGCTTAAGTTAACTGTATTTGATTCAAGAATTATAACTGTTGTTAAAAATTGTTAAAAAACTGTTTCCGTACTGTCAACTAAAACCAATAAATTTTGATTCACAAAAACTTTTAACGTAGGCCACTGAAAGATCAAAAATTATCCAATTTTTTTTTTTTCCACCTCTATCACTGCTATTCATACGTATTTTCCCCTATCGTATTCCTACTACTGTTTAGAGTTGTCTAAACTATTGTTGCTTACAATTCAACAGTGTTCAGACTAAATTTACATTTATTTTTCACTTAAATCTCTGTAAGCAATAGATTTTCAACGTGTAAAACAAAAAAGTTTTTTACTTTTTTTTTTCTTTTTTTTTGTAATGACCAGTGTTTGGAAATATAAAAACAAAATTTATTTGTATATTTGCTTTTCTGGAACACCAATTTATCAGGATGGATCCTTCAGAA